ATACCATAGTAAGATTATATATTTTAGCATACTCGACCCCCAAAGCAGTTAACTGCTTTATTCTAATCGTGTCTAAATAAAAGATATTGATTCATTGAAAAAGAAATGAATAATGTGTTGGAGAGGGCATGAATGAAAATGTTTAATATAGTATAAATTGAAGTTATGAATATATGAGAATCATATATGGGAACTGCGGGGTGAAGAATTATATAAAAGGTGATCATTGCAGTTATAGACGCACCTTTTGCAGTTTCGATTCTCGGCCGCCATTTTATTGTCACTACGCAAAAGTTTAGAAATTCGAATGTTCTCTGTTACTAAAGAAAGCCCTATTGAACTGAAAACATTGGACAAGAGAAAGCGAGATATATACTATTTTGTATTGCGGATCTGTTCAACCTGACACATCTATTTTATTTCTAAGGGAAAAAAACAAACAATGAACCTAATTTTTTTAACCACAGTCAGTGCATAGACATTCTTCAAAATGAAAACTAGATAAAATATCATGTAACATTAACAAAGATCTGATACAGGGTATAAAGTTGTTCTGTCAGTGTTCTGGTAAATGGGCAGACGAAGTATAATCTTTATCGCTTGTCCAGCGAAAAGTTTCACTAAAGTGCAAATGAGAAAAAAATCATAGGTTAACATATTATGACTGTTAAAGATCCTAGTTTAAAACTGAGTGTCAAAGATGAAGTTAGCTAGGCACATAAGGTTAAACAGATATTATTTAAACTTAACAAGCTTAAAAATTTCAACCTATTTCATGTTGAAGCATATGCAGCGATCTATACTACAAAACAATCGGTTTACTCACGAACTTCCACCGTGGATATCCATGCTTTTCCCGCACCGCTTCGTAAACTCTGAAAATAAAACGCAAAAAAAGGAAATCAGTGTCACTTCTTTAAGAAACAAACAAAGCTCACTGGTAAACTCAGAAAATAAATCGAAAAGAAACAGAAATTGAGTAACATACGAAATTCTCACCTTTGAAGTCACACGTTGTAGATCTTTGACTGCGACGAGAAAAGCTGTCAAAACTTACCGTAGTGAGCCACGACGGTAAACAAAACACCATCCCATAACTTTTATGCACGCGCAAAAAAGCTCAACCCAGACCCCGCGTACTCATCCAACCGTAGCCGTTAACCGTAGTCTTAAATCTTAAATTCCCTAGTGTCGCTGATGGTTGAGGTGAAGACAGTAGTGTTGATGATGATGATGGAATAGGTGATGGCGGGGCAGTGTGGGGAGGAAAAATGACACTTGCATCATTTGATGTAGGTGGTTGACTGCGTTGAAATAATAGACGGCGGACGTAAAGTAAAATTAAAGGCAGAAAAACAGCTAAACATAGTAAAGGTAATGAAACTGCAAGGATGTTGAAGATGGCAGGGAATTGAAGGACGAAGAAAATGCTGATGACGATGGCACAGGGACAGAGATAGGAGAAGGCGATGTTGATGACAAGGGTGGAGAAATACAAAGTTGAGGAGGAGATGGCAGTTTTGAGCAGTTCAGTGTGGATAGCCATGCTATATTGCTCGTGCAAAAATGGTGAATACAGGATGATTTTAGAGTGAGGCAAAGGTGGCGACATGGTTGAGCTTGGCGAGCAAACTAACATTCGGGCATACGGCAAGCAGCTTGAACTAAAAAGTGGCTTGAAGTGTTCAATTATGATGGCGTTGGGGACTTGTTCCTTGGGGCTCAATGCAGTTGAATTGTAAAAGGTGCACTAACCTTTGACAAGGTCAGTGACTTTAAAACATTTCTGCATCTCTGCAGGTCTTAAGGCCAAGGTAAATAACATTTTATTTTGGTAGGAGTACCGGTCTAAAACAGGTAGCAACTGGCAATGAAATGACGTGAACCCAGTCTTTTCAATAGCTACAAAACAATGTGTTACTGTTTTGACTCTGTTACTTTTATTATGCTTCCTGTGATTTTTCTCACATACGCCAATGTCGTATTAAGGTTGAAGAGCTTTTTTTATCTCCCTCACGCCCCATTCAAACAATGAACAAAAACGAGAATAATGGGGCTCTAACTTTCCATTCCTCACACACGTGTTGCAGATCAAAATCTGTCAGACCTTCCTTGGTAGAGAAAAGTTCCAATACTTCCTTCTTCAAAATACTCAGTATTTTCTCTATGGTGGTTGCGAACGGGATCACAGTTCATGGCTGCATTAGGGACTCTGGAGCATTTGCCTTGAACAAGCGCCTCTCTAATGAGTTGATAGCTACCGTGGAGGGATTTATTCAAATGCTTACTAGGAAAACTTTAAGAAAGGTTTATGTTGGAAGTCTGCGGATTACCTTCACAGTTCCTTGATAACTTGCGCGGATTGGAAGTGACAACTTTGCGAATGTGTGTGATGGTATTTATGAACGTGTTTCAGCAACTCGCAACTGTTACTCTGAATTGGTGCTAAGAAGTGCAAAGTTTCATTCTCCAGCCAACACAGCTTTGTGGCAAAATCCCAGAAGGCGTGTCTCGGCAAAGCCGCAGTCACCCCACAACCACAGGCGGCCCAACAATTTAGCCTTCTTGCTTCACTGTCTATACTGATATGTTCAACAATGCTCAGTCATTGCTATGGTTCATTGCAGATGGCTTTTTGTAGATAGATTAACAAGTTCTCATTTAGTTATTGGTTCAAGAATAGACATTTGTATATAGGTTGATAGGTTCTCATGTAGTTACGGGTTATCATTTAGTTACTGACTCCAGAAGAGAAATTTGTATTTTTATTATATTGTTAATGCACGTGAAGTTTTAAAGTTGTAAAAATAATGGGCTGTATATTTTTATGCTAGTGGGGGAGGGATGGGGGCGGGATTAGTTTGTGGTGTAGTTTAGGGAGTTAGTGTGGAAATCATTATATTATCAGATCTAAGAGATGTTGATTACGCGATATGGGATTATACTGATAATAATGTCTATATTTATAGAGATGTTAACATGTAATTCGGGGTTATATTGTCTATATTTATTTATTTTCTATACGTGGAATTTTGTATATCTACCAATCTCTTTTATTAATTTAATTTTATCTGACAAGTTTCAAAATAAAGTGCTTCCTTGAACGGGAAAACTCTGTGGATGGTGAGGATAGATACTAGTGCATGGTGGTGAAGAATGCTTGCTGTGTAAGGTGGAGGGGGTGCCTGCCAGTTGGAAGCCTTTACAGAACCAGTATGGGGTGATAGATTTCACAAAGATAGTGGTGTAGTATAGGAAAGCGGAGGATGGAGGCATAGGTGTGGATAAGGTGAAAAAGGAAAAGATTCCTAAGGATGCGAGAAATATGTTTATTTTTGCTATATATTCTGTACAGGTTCCACTTAGGAGACAACAATTAGGGACTTCGTATTCTATTTTTTTACCAATAAAAACGATTTGTAATGGAAAACTCGATTTGTACAATAAATTTTAACATAATTCATGCTGTTGTTTAAATTTCTTTCTTATATCTTTCTATTTCTTGGCTTCTGCCAAAATGTCGTTGGCCATTAGCCGTAGCTGGGCAGCCACCCGCTTGGCTTCTATGGTTGCACTCCTAATTTCTCCTGCTTTATTCTTGTTGCAAGGAAATCTCAGACTTCGCAGTTTCAGACTTCGCAACATATTTGCTAGCACGTTCATAATATAAGAAGAATGACACAAGAAATCTATCATTTCTGATAGCAGTTTCCTTCTTTGGTACCAAATGTTTGCGACTGTCTCAATGTGTGCGTGCAACTCCACTAAATGAAAATGGTCATTCCTGAGACGTAGAACACAAAGCTGGTATCATGTGTGAGTGATAGTCGAGTTTGGTTCTATTTTTCAGCGTTCTTTCATGGTTCCCTGCCCTCCATCGCTTCTTCCCCATGGAATGCCTTGGCTCTCCTCCCGCTTCAGAGGAAGTCTTTCTCTTCTTCCTTGCTGCCCCTGCGCCGCCCACTGTCCTCAAGGTGGTCTCTGCGTCAGTCTCCCCATGGTGGACCTCCTCTGAGTTGCTGCTTTTCAAGCCGGGCCAGCTGCTCAGCCGTGCGAGGAAAGCACATCTGTTCAATTACAACTTGCCTCCTTCATTCGGAAACGAAACGGTGTACATAGGATTGTAGGATTACTAAACAAAAAACGAAAATGTTATCAATGCTGTGTACTTTCTCAAAATCGCCAATAAATAGGAAACAAAAGAACAAAATATTGCCAGTTCGCAAGAATAAACGCCCCCAAAACTTTCCAGCCACACGATATCAAAGTAAAGGGTAGCACTGCAGGACGTTTGTAACTGTGACTGAACCAGTAGCTTTATATGAGTGTCTCTAAACAACGTACCTGTCCAAGCGAATGTGGTTTAAATTGGCGTCAAACAGGGCTTGTCCGCTGGTTAGAGCCTTGGTCAAACGTGCGCCGTGACAGTGGGGGAGTTCCCACTTGTTCACTTTTGCGTGTGTCTGCCTCTTGCCCGCAGTTGGATCAGCGGCAGGACGTGTATCTTTCCACCTTCTTTCCAGTCTCTCGGTGCAGTAGCTGATAGCGCTGGCTGCGTTGTCAAACAAAACTGCGTTGGACACCTCCTCCTGCGAATCTCGAGGCACTATGTGCCTTGGCAACACCAGGCTGTCTAGCACAAACAAGTCAAAGTTGAAAGCTAGAGGCTGGTCGATGGATTCTGCGAGTGCCAAGGGGAAATATGGCTCCATGCACTCGGTTTCCCTTTGGAGGGAAGCCGCGTCCTGTTGTTAATAAAAGGACTGACTGCTTTCCTCGACCACATCCTTGTCCGCCACAAAGAAGGTCCTGTCCTGTGAGGACTCAACTTCACCATCTATAAGTGCAGGTACGGCAGATTTAGAATCGCGTTGGCGGCAAACGTCATATAAACACGTACGTACAAACTTAGCAACATTCCCATAAGGGCTATTCTATGTCAATCAATCAATCAATCAATCATTTATTTTAATACGTTACGTCAAAGAGCTAAAAAACTCGTTCAAAATACAAACGTGTATAAATAAGATCTATAATAATTACAGCTATATAACATTATTCAGTTTTAAAAACATCTCAATAAATATATACATATAAAATACTTTGTAATAAAAACAAAATATAAACAGCTAAAACCGACCAAAAAGCCACATACTAAAAACGTAATTAGGAAAAACTATAATACTCATTCTAAAAACAGTTAAAAGCTACAATCGTGCACTATAAGACATGTTCTAAAAAGCTGCAATTGTGGAATTTACTTCTGAAGTCATTAGCGGCACTTGAAAGGCGCACTTGAGAAGGCAAACTGTTCCATAATTTAGTTAATGAATAAGTGAAAGAATTCTTCTTAAACTTAAGATTAAAGTTAGATAATTCCAATGATACTAGGATGGCCAGTGTCAGATCTATGCTCTAACTGAATAGTATTGGCAAAGTAATCACTAAAGACTTTTGCCACACACCCAGGGTTGGAAACAATACTGCTGCCCTCAATGAGGGTGACGCCTTGTATGTTTTTACTAGAACTAGTTGGCAAAAGGGGCTTCATTTTTCTCCAAAATTCGCCCGGATGTTTAGCACTCAAGGAAGGGTCACAGCAAAACGTTTTCAAAGCGTTGCGCTTTAGCGACATAACCTTGTTACGTTGCCGCTTATAATCATCCAAGAAGTAGATGTAGGATTTCACTTGTGGCGCTTGAATAATTTGTTTTACGGCAAAATTTCTCTTGAACTTTCTCTTGAACTGCTGAGATGTACACGCCAACTCTGGATTCTTGTCCTTTTCTTGACCTAGATCCTTGGTAGTCTTCACTTCAAAGAGGGAATACTTGCAAATTTTGAACATCAAGGCTGAAATATGGTTGCAAAATCCAGCCTTTCCTGCGACACACGTACAGCTGCTGTCTAAAACGTCTCCCTTGAAAATACACAATGCCAGTTTTAATTGATGTGGGGGGATCGTTCTTTCAAAAGCTATGGCAGCATTTAGCTTGAAAATAAAAACAGCGGTCATCACGTGTGGCATTTCTTTCTCTTAGATATTCATCTTCGAGGAATGTCTTCACTTTTCTTAAGGAGGTTGGCACAGAATGATGTTGAATATTGGAAATACTTTTTTCCGATCTGGCTATGTGCTCGTTCATTTCTGCCCTGGTGAACATGGTCATCTTTTCAAGAGACGTACTCCATCCATCAGAGGGATACTTGACAGACGGTTTGTAAGCATCACCATTTGAGGAGTTCGTAACACTTGATGTACCTCCGATTCCAATGCGTTGCTGTTTTCGCTTAGTGTACAGACCATTTGGATCGGGATCCAGGATATTTTTGTCCTTTCCAGTCTTGATATACTCTTCCACCCTGATGAAGAAATCAGGTGATTATTAAACTTGAACAAATCTTACAACTGACTGGTAGAATATATATGTAAGATTACAAAGCGATTTGCTGTCTTACCTCTTAACAAGTTCAGCTTTGGTTTTGAGGCCTTTGCCTGGATCACCTCTACATTTCAACCAAAATTTAAGTTCTTTGTTCTTTAATTCAGACGGCTTTCGACTGCAAAGTGACGCACCAGGAATATCTTGCTCTTCTAGAAACGATTCACTCGACATATTTCATGCTAGATGCCAGCTGTTGATAAATCGGTACTAAGATTGCTTCGCGTGGCGTGGCGTCGCTTCGATTTGTTTTGGATTGTTTTGGTTACCGAGGCCTTACTTGCCTCGCTCTGATGTGATTCGTTCCCACTCTGCCCGAGCGGTCCGCCATTATGAAATTCGTGTATGCTGATGACTACACAGGGACAGAGACAGGAGAAGGCGATGTTGATGACAAGGGTGGAGAAATACAAACTCAGGAGGAGATGGCAGTTTTGAGCAGTTCAGTGTGGATGGCCATGCTATAATGCTTGTGTGGAAATGGTGAATGCAGGATGATTTTACTTCGGGGAAATGGTGACGGCATGGTTGAACTTGGCGATGTGAAGAAATGCAAAATGGTAAAAATGTAGAGCAAACTAAAATCTGACAAGGGTGGAGAAATACAAACTTGAGGAGATGGCAGTTTTGAGCAGTTCAGTTTGGATGGCCATGCTATATTGCTTGTGTGAAAATGGTGAATGCAGGATGATTCTACTTTGAGGGAAACGGTGGTGGCATGGTTGAACTTGGTGATGTGAAGAAACGCAAAAAGGTAAAAATGTAGAGCAAACTAAAATCTGGGCATATGGCAAGCAGCTTGAACTAAAAAGTGGCTTGAAGTGCTCAATTATGATGGCATCGTGGACTTGTTCTTTGGAGCTCAATGCGGTTGAATTGTAAAAAGTGCACTGACCTTTTAAAAGGTTAGTGACTTTAAAACATTTCTGCATCTGTGCAGGTCTCCAGGCCAAGGTAAATAACATGGAAATAATAAACAAGGTGAACTCCATTGTGCACTGTGGTAGGAATACCAGCGTAAAACAGGTATCAACTGGTAATGAAATGACGCGAACCCAGTCTTTCCAAACAACTTGTTGCTGTTCTGACTCTGTTACTTTCATTATGCTTCCTGTGATTTTTCTCACATATGCCAATGTATTACGGTTATTAATACTCTTAAGAATGTGGTTTCCATATGATCGTTACGATCGGTGAAAAAAATCTGGTGAATAGGGGTCAATTCACGAAAGTCTGCCTTGTCAGATTGCCGTGTCAGTCATTTAAGAATAAGGAATATGTTTTAGTGGTTTTTCATATTAGGTGTAACAATTATTTCTGATGTCCGTTTAAAACACCCTTGGCTCACAAACAAAGAGGCGGTATTTACATCTCTCTCACGCCCCATTCAAACAATGAACAAAAACTAGATAGTTTTGACCCTGATCCGAGCCAAGCTGTCAGATGGACTAAATAACAGCAAAGACATTACTATACAGTAAATAGAGTAAACTAACATAAAACAGGCAAGTACATAATGATTACAAAGAGAGGCTAACCCAAAGTATCAAATAACGTGATAAGATGGGAGACTTCGACATAATCATCTTCCGACTGCAAGAAATTTAGTAATGGCTGATGTCATTTTACGGTCCAGCTTCTTATAATCGTTCGGACCACCACCATAGTTTGAGCCTTTAAGGGTGTCCTCTTGAAAGCGAAAACCTGCCTTAAATTTTTTACTAAAATTGTTAGCTTAGGAATACACCGAATTCATAATGGCGGATGGCTCGGGTAAGCCTCGGTACGAGTACATGAAAACGAGGCGGGTGAGGATTCGAGCAGAAAAAAATACAGAAGAGCGTGTTGTGTAATTTAAAGCGTGGTTGTACAAAGTACCTTTTTTTACCATGAATGAAAATAAATCACCGTAGAATCGGTATTGCTGTATGCCACTTTGTAATCAAAAAGGAACCACCGGTCCAAACGGCGAGAAAGTTGGATTTTTTAGCATCCCGACCGATACAAGCTTGAGGGCGCAATGGCTGCACGCGATTCGAAGAGATACAGGTAAACATCATGATTACAGATTCTACTAAAGTCTGCTCTCTGCATTTTAAGAATGAACACCTTAAGAAGAGTTTAGGCATTGGGCAGTTAAGTTACGTAGACGGAGCAGTTCCATCAGTTTTTGAATGGAAAAGGAGCTCACCTCGGAAGAGACCTCCGCCGACACCAAGAGGTAATTCTGCTTCGATTCAAAATAAAAAGCAGAATAAGAGGAAAGCAGGAAGTGCTCGAACATTGCTCGATATGAGTGCAGTTGCCGGTCCGTCTTCAGAATCCCTTAGTATCGATGCTACTGATTCATTAAACGAGTTTTCCTTAGAAAGTAATTCCGAAGCAGAAAGTAGCGAAACTGTAACAACAGACAATCAGCTGTCCTACGACGATCTTCGAAAAAAGCTAGCTAAAATGGAGCAGTTACTTGAAGAGAGCAGAACGAAAAATGCAAAGTTAGAAGCAGAGGTTGAAAAAGTGAGGACCCATGCTTTCAAAATTTCGGAGAAGTGTGCGAACTTAGAGAAGAGGATTTTTACAGTAGATAATTTCACCTCTGATGAAGATATTACATTTTATACTGGCTTCCCATCGTATGACGTTTTCATGGCTATGTACAATTACTGGAGGTTTCTGGCATCGACGAAATTCTGCTTGGTGTTCTAATGGAACAGCTAGCTGGGGGGAAAGGAGGTGACATATCTTTGTCCATATTCAAATCCATATTTAAAGAGACTTCACAGCTGCTACTCTCGCTTAGTGGGTGATGAATGTCCTGATGGTTTCTTGTGACAAGAATGTTAGGACAATCTTGCCCTTGTGGAACCGTTACCTAAAAATAAAAGAATAGGAGAAGGTTTGGTTTTGATTTCAGTTTTCTTTGTTCATTTGTCAATATAGAAGCAGTTGATCTAAAATGTTACGAATAGTAGTAATAAAAAACTGTTATAAAGTAAAAGAATCAAAAATAATTACAGCCTTACCATGCACTACTTTGTGATTGGTCTTTGCGGTGAATCTGAAAAAAACCATGATTACTTCCTGAATTTGGAGTACTTGAGCGATACATATCGCAGAATTTATAACGAAAAGAAGACAACTCAGAAGTACGCAAGAAGAGAACACGTTGCTCGACAAAGCGTAAGCAAAATGACGCTCAAAATCCCACTGATTATACTAAACACCATCAAATTGGTCTTTTCATTCACTTGATGGGAGGAAATGGAGCAAATGAGCATAGGACCTTAACATATTTTGTTTACAAATCAAAAATGTGCACCGTACCCAGAAAGACGTCGGACAAGGTGAGTAGAAAGAGGTAGGTAGGTTGGGTATGTGAGACTCCAAACTTGAACACCATAGGTAAGAAAGGGGTAGGAAGATGATCAGAGATTTTAGGGACTAGGTTACCACTGATGGCATTCATAGCATAAGTATTTGCAAATACCGTACTTTATCGGCTATAAGCCGAGCGATTTTTACACATGTTTAACCTAACTTGAATTAAAATCTGACTTAATAAAACTAAGATAAATACGCATATATTCGCATACAAGCCGACCAAAACACATGGACAAAAAAGCAAGAGTTATTGGTCATTAACTTTAATATGTGGTGGCTTCTAAAGGAGCCGTTTGTTTTCTGTTGTGAACTGCACGTTCGAGGATGTCAGCTTATGGCTCATCTTCGCTTTCCGTATCAAATTCTTCATCCATCTCATCTTCTTCGGCGTCATTGTCTTGCTCCTCTTCATAGATGGCATCATCCTCGGTGCCGTCAAGCGCATTGGAGATGCCACAAGTAAGAAATGATTTCCTCACCATCTCCTCCGGGATCTCCCTCCAAGACTGCTTTATCCAACATAGAACGAGGTTTCTTGACGGCGCTTTCTTTTTCCCAGCAGGAGTTAACTCGAAGGGGCCAGTTACCATCCACGACAGGTACTTTCTTCTCATATTCTCCTTGAAGGGTTTATTTAGACACTTGTCTAAGGGCTGGAGAACTGGAGTTAGGCCACTGGGAATAACAGCTACATCGATACTTCGCCGCTGCAATGCTTCTTTCACTGACTCAGTAAGATGAGCACGAAAGGAGTCCCAAACCAACAGCGATCGCTCACCAGTGGGGTTTCTTGGCATGCAGGTACGAATCCACTCCTTCACGCCTATAACGAAAGAAAGAATACAACAATCGATTAGACCTCAGTTTAATTAAAGACTTCAACAAAGCATGCGGCTTTAAACACGAGTAAAGAGCACAAAAAAAAGAGCGCATATGAACAACACAAAACTGTTAACTTACCAGCTTCATCCATCCATCTCAAACCGCATTGGTGTCTCATCCATATTGAAAATTCTGGACAAAGGGCATCCATGGCGCTGACGAGCTGCGATCACGAACCGGATTTTACTGTTTGCTCTTCGAGATCGTTTGGCAGACGCTGGGCGAGGGTGGTCTTCGTTCGGAGAGTGATGGAATGGCGCCGCTTCCAGATTATGTACCAGCCTACAGATGCTTTGAATGTGGGATCATCGCAGAATTCTTTCGCCTTCAAACGCAACATCAGTCCACCGACAGCAATTCCTAAAACGAAGGAAAGATAGAACAGATAAGCAATGATACTAATGTTTTGACAACTATCAAAAACTGACCAATGAGAATGTTCTGTTCCCACGGATGTGTAAACAAACTTGTCACATGATTCTCACCTTGACTTCTCTGCTCGGAAAACCATTCCAGCAGTCTTTGATCCATCTCGGGATACTTTGGTGTAAAAACGTTTTGCGGACAGTTTTATTTCGCCTTTGAAGAGGTTTTCTTGGTCTTTTCTCCAGTGACGAACCTTTGACTCACTGATGCCGTATTCCCTTGCGATCTCAGGGTTGTTCTCGACGGCTTCTGCTTCGGTGACTATTTTAAGTTTGAACGCTAGATTGTATGATGTACGACGGGCTTTTGGCATGATAATGGATTGACAATGAACGACTATCGACACAGGATTGTTAAAGACAGGTCTCTGAACTCGGAATGTTCATATGATCAAGCCGTGAATTCAATTTTATTCATTTGATCGGATCACATTAAATTCAGCTTAACTGTGATTTGTTGTTATTCTTAGCCATTGTATTGAGTAGGTAACAATATTGATACAGTTGTTTCCCGAGAGGTAAGCCTAGCTTTCGTTAAATATTCATGACACCTTGCTTTTCAAGCGAATTGCCCGTGCCGTTGGATAATTAACCCGTTCTTTCATTTCATTTTAACAGATTTTAAAAGCTAAATGTGATTAAAATTTTTCATGAGCTCTTATACGTTTTGAGAACTGGGTCTCGGCTTATAGCTGAATGTTTTGTGTTTATGTTTGAAGACGATCGTATTAAGTTTAAGAGTTAAAAGTTTAGGGTCTCAGCTTATAGGTTGCTGATCTTTCAGTAATACGTGTTGGTTGTAAGATATAAGGTAGGAGAAAAATAGAGTTTAGCATTAGTAAGAAATCCTTAGATTCAGGATGATTTTCACAATTTAACAGGTTAATAATAAAATCACCCATGATGAAGATGGACTTATTTTCAGTAGTTAGCTGAGATAGAGTTGACTCCAGATGTTCTTTGAACCTTACAGGGCTAAAGGATAGGCACAGCAACATAAAATATTTTTAGTTTTAGTGTTAACTATTTTAACCCAGATAGTTTCAAATTGATCATCAGTTGTAGTTCTCTCAGTTCGCTTAAAAGCATTTCAAGTATGTCTTGTAGAAATTGCCACACCACCAGCCGCAGATCTGGAGGGTGGTGAATTTAATATATAACCATCCAAGTTATTGTTCATTTTGAAACCTGAGGAATAGTTTTCTTTAGTCTCCCTAATGCCTAAGACATGAAAAGGAGAATTCATCAATGCAAGTATAGTCTGCAGGCCACCCAAATGGGCATCAAGGCTATTTAAGTTAACATGAAATAAGGAGAAATAAGATGGCGAAGATGATACATGTAAAGCTAATTTGTCAAAATCTGATGGATAATAATATTTAGTATTTATAGGATTAGGTATATTTGACTCGATATCAGAGATGTTTAGACTTCCCAGGCTAGTAATCTGAGAGATAATATCAAGGGAGGGTAGCAGTTCAATGTCAGAGGGTTTCCTAGAATTCATTAGAATGTTAAATTCAATATCATTTAAAGAACTAAAGGGAAATAAATCAATAGTACATATTTTACAGAAAAATACCTCATTGTTAAGTTTTAAGTGTTTGCAGTCCTTAATGGTCAGACCATTACACTTGCCATGAATCCGCACATGGCAGATTCCACATTTGACTGCATCATCACAACTTGCTGTTAACTTCTGGCATATGCGACAAGTAAATGTTTGATTATGTGATACACTGTTCATTTGCTATCAGATAAAGTGAATAAATCTATATGTTCGTACATTTAAGCCATGAGTTGAACCATTTCGTCTGTCTCTGATAATGAGCTTATCGAGGTAGAAATAAGCAAATTTACCTTGTGCTTTAGCTTGTTTGAGCTGAGGCAGTTGTGCCCTTCTTTTCTCCATTGTCTCCTCGGCTAGGTGTTCAAAAATGTTTAGACCTTCGGGTGTGATTCTCCTTGCCTTTTTGAGAATTACCTCCTTTGCTTTATAACTAGTAAACTTGCAAACGACCGTTCTCGGTTTTGAAGCTCCATCATGCCTCCTGGGAAGAGCTGTGTGATGAGCACATTCAATTTCTGGAGCAGATTCAAAATCGAGTTTTTATAACTTTCACTTCCGTTTCATCCCATGTTTCATTGTCATCTTTCAGAAATCCTTCAAGGCACAGATTGTTTCATCTTCTAAGTAGACTGTCTTCTTGATATGTTTCTTCATCGTTGTCTCGATTTTAGAAACGTTATCTTCAATTGACTTGATCTTTTCAGCATGGTCGGTTAAGTCCTTTTGACTAAAGTCCAGACTAGCTTTTAATTGATCGACATCCTTGACTATGCCGTCAATACGCACACTTATACTGGTAACAACAGAGTCCATTAAGGACTTAATCATACTATGAAGAAGATCTTGGTCGTAAGACTCCACCGAATCCACTGGATCACGAATCTCAAAATCTCTGGTTTCTGGAGGTGGCATGTTGGATTTCCTTTGGTTTTTTCGTTTGCCAGACATCTTGTTAATCAGAATGAAGTAATACTATTAAAGTTAAAACGAAAACAATGAGACCAGATCAGCGAAAAGAGGAGCAGGTCAAAAACACAACGGCCATCTTCCCCAACCGCTGACCAGACTCAGCCAAGTAACATCCCCTATAAGTTGAATTGAGAAACCATGACTAGAGCTGTCATCTAATGCAGGCCCGTTAGCTCTTAAGTCATACAAGACCTCATACAATGCTTCTTTCAATGTGTCTCTTTCTTGGGGTGTCACTTTTCTCAACTTCACATTATTGCTGTCACTGTCCTCAACTGCTGCATTAATAGCCTCAAAAGGCAAAGTTTCTACATCACAACTTTCACCAGCACACTTGCAGATTGACGAACAAAAAGAACAGGAGTCATGAGGAGGTTCCAGAGGTTGAATCGTGTCATCTAACGATTTATACGCAGCAACATGAAAACAGCCTTTAA